GAGAGAGAGAGAGAGAGAGAGAGAGAGAGAGAGAGAGAGAGAGAGAGAATACAATTAGAGATTACAATCGCTCAATAACCTCACAAATTTTAAGCTCTCAAATCCCTCACAAAATCCACTCTCAAAAGTTCTCAAAATCTCTCTTATGTCTGCTCAAAATCACCCTTATTCAAACCCTACAAAACGTGTTGGTATTTATACCAAACACCAAACCAAAAAATCCGAACTGCGAACCAAGCTACCCAGAAAACTCGATATGAGTCGACTCATAACTCTATGAGTCGACCCAGTAGAAACAAAATCACAATTCCTGGGCACTTCATGAGTTGACTCATCAATTCATGAGTCGACGCATGTCTGTCATGAGTCAACGCATGAATCGATAAGTCGACTCATGACACAACAAAAATAGGTTTTTCTGGGTTTGTTTTAGCACAATTCTCCACTTCGGTGAATTCTCCACTTCGGTGAATTTTTTCAATAAAACTGAGCCAACCCAAATACCAAACATCCCACTTGTTAGGTCTAGTACGAAGTGGACTCAATCCACAACAAGTCGGGAACCCAAATGAGAACTCTATCAACCTTCGCTGTATCGATATCAACTCATCAAACTGGCTACATCAAACTGATTGCCTATGTATCTTCTTGCCTAAGGATTTAAGCCTTACGTAGTTCACCCAAATGGCCTCCAAAGGCTCTCAACAACGAAGAATATTTAACAACTCTAAACAATGACCAAATTTCACCCCAATGACAACTTTGGTCAACATATCTGCCGGATTGTCCTTTGTATGGATTTTCTTTAATGTAATGTCTCCATCATCCAAGACATCTCGCACAAAATGGAATCTGGCATTAATGTGCTTTGTTCGGGCATGATACACCTAGTTCTTTGCCAAATAGACAGCTAACATACTATCACACTTTACCCTGATGGTATTATGTGTAATCCCCAAGTCATTCAATAACCCCTACAACCACAAAAGCTTCCTTCACAGCTTTAGTCAGTGTCATATACTCTGCCTCCATAGTGGAAAGAGCTACTATAGACTGAAGTGTACATCTCTAACAGACCGATACTCTTGCTAGTGTAAACACATATCTAGTAGTAGATCGGCGCTTGTAAAGATCCCCAGCATAATCAGAATCTACATATCCAACACAATCCTTCCCATTTATTCCATTCTTCTCAAACACCAATAAACTAACATCCATGGTACCTTTGATATACCACAGGATCCACTTCATGGCCTCCCAATGACCCTTCCCGGGGTCATGCATACCATGCTCACGGCCTGTGACAAATCTGACATTGTGCACACCATTGCATACATCAAGCTATCCACAACACTGACATATGGAACTTTAGACATGTATTCATGGTCCTCAACTGAAACAGGTGACATCTTAGCTGATAGCTTAAAGTGGGGAGCTAATGATGTATTCATGGTCCTCAACTGAAACAGGTGACATCTTAGCTGATAGCTTAAAGTGGGGAGCTAATGGAGTACTCACCGCGACATC